TCAATCAAACTTGTAAGAAATGATTGTTGGCCGTGCAGCTTGTCAACCTTAAGAGCCAATTTAAGATGGCCGCTAAAGCCAGCTGACCTAAAAACAAAAAATGGGTAAAAACTCAATTAGCCTCAGAGAAGAAACTGGGTGGTGTTTACATGGACATGTACTCTGAGTGCGACATTTTTAGACACAGTATGAAATCACACATAACTTTATTTTCAAAGTTTGAAAATATCGCTACAACTGCCTCTTTCCTGATAGGATGACCGTTTAAAACGTCATGGGCGAAATGCGTTCCTTCAAGAAATGCCACGTCTTTGATTTCTTAAGTGGAACGAGAGAAATGAGATGCATGGAAAAGCAGCAACAGCTAAATATGTTTTTGATAATCCAAAGGCTTTTTTTATTTTTTTTTTCAGTGCTGCAAAATGTAGGGAACATAAATTTGTAGAACATAGATCTGACTTTCATTTAGTGATTGTAGAAAAACCAAAACATTTATTTATTTATTCTCTAATATAAAATCTATTTTAGATGATCTAAAGAAATTACCCTATAATTATGTTGAAAAATAAAACAATGTTTTTTTGTGTTATAATTATACATCTTCATATGAAAAACAAAAGTCAAATGAAAACGGGTATCGCTTGTTTTATGGAAATACTGAGTAAATCGTCGTCCTGTTTGATCAGTTTATTTAGGAAGTTACTGTATGATTTGCTGCTGTTGACAGTGATTTAGTGGATTTGTTTGCTGGACTCCCAAACTCTCTGGTTCCCAATAGAAAAAGCTTCTTAAAACTTTTTGTGTTTTTGCAGTCATGTTCACTCCTTCAGCAGAATCTGTCAAATCTCCATGTGGAAGTGCGACGTCTCCTCGCTCGCTCTCGCGTCCATCGGTCCCACTGTGGCAGCCGCCATGATGGCGTTGAGGCGTGTCAGAGACAGGGAGCGCTGTTTGAGCCTGGGGGCAGGTTCTGGACTTTCAGAGCCTGGGTCTGGAAGGTGGCAGTATCTCTGACCGTCCTCGTCGTACTGGTGCACACGGATGATGCGGCTGCGACGGCAAGGAGCAGAAGAGGAGGCCTCTCCTTCTGTGGAGTCATTTCTCATCGTCTCCTTGATTTCACTGCTTCTCTCTGCTCCTGTAGATCTGTCCAACTCTTCACAGTGTTCGGCCTCTTTATCCTCCTCTGTGTTCTGTTCTCCTTCATTCTCCTCTCTTTTCATCTCCTCTTTGCTTTTGTTCTGCTCACCTGGTGCCTCTTCTGTCTCCTTACTGTCTAAACTTTTATCTTGGTCTTTTTCACTTGGAGTCCCTTCGTCTTCTAGATAGAAAGAACTTTGAGTGGTTTCTTCCTCCTCCGGTGCCTCCTCATCACATTTTTCTTTAATTCCCCCCATGCTTCCTCCTGCCACCTCCATCTCCTCCTTTGTGTAGTCACACCCCTCCAAATATGCAGTGGCTTCCGGTTCCTTCTCCTTTTTGAGCCGGAGGCTTCTTTTGGGTTTGGCAGGTGGAGATGGGGTTGTCACCGACATTCTGGCCTCCACGTTTCCACATGTCAGAGAATTTTCCTGCATCATTTCTGTCTCAAAGGCATCGTCATACACTGGTGACAAGGTGGTAATGGCAACCTGCGAGCTGTGGTCCGGCACGTCAGCTTGGCGACGTTGGCGTTGCTTTGGTGACCTCAGCCTTGTAGCTACAGCCTGTAGACATCTAAAGAGAAACAGTTTAGCTGGAGTTAGGAAACATGATTTACTATTTTAAATAAATCACGATGATTTGTTACACAATCATGATGGTTGTTGAGTAAATTTTAGTGCCATTCATAACTGCTTTAAATCAACAAAGTCCATGCTCAATAATCCAGGTATACAATCCAACATTTTTCTGAAAAATGTTGCTTTAAATCAAGGTCTGTAAAACAGACTAATCAACACAGAAATTGAATGAAATTTTACATTCAGTAAGATTTGGGCCAAATGAGAGCATGTAATGGGGATAAACAGTGCTGGACCGAGGACAGATCCTAGGGGAATCTCACAAGCTGGGCATGTATTTATTTACTTGTTTATGGTTATCATTCTTTTTGCTTCTTGTGTATTTATCTCTGTTAAAAACCAAATGTATGTTTTGTGTTTGTCATGATTTTAACCATAACCAAACCTGAGAACGTGAGTTCTTGACAGAGCTCCAGCGCTGAATCCCACCACAAACGTCAGCAGCACTGATGCCACCACGGCTCCTGCAAACGTCTTATCTGGAACTTTGCTCCTGGGCCTAATGGTCCTCTTGGACCTGTGTGCAGCACAGCTGTGGTCCTGCTCACGTTCATCATCTGTGTTTTGGTCGTGACCAACACTGAGCTCGTATGGCCACAGTGTGGTTCCCTCTGTGTGGCGAAGGACACAGTAGTACTGCCCGCTGTGCTGGAGACTGGGCATGGAAATCACCAGACTCCCATCATGGTGCACAAATATGGAGTCCAGGTCTGTGTGTAAAGCAGAAGGTTGAAGGTCTCCAAAGGGAGTGTGCCAGAACTGGACCCCACCTACAACATGAACGGAAGTTAAAAAAAACTTCTCATTTTTGGCTTAAAAATAGACAATTTCTACAAGTTTGCGGGAAATATTTACTGTATTACACAACCCCCTTAAGAAGATTTTGTGTTAAAGAACTTTTTTCTCCACATTTTCCACATCGCTCCCAGACTACAGGTTTACTTGTGGTTCCTAGATTTTCCAAAAGTAGAATGAGAGGCACTTTCATTATCAGGCTCCTCTCGTGTGGAACCAACTTCCAGTTTCTTTCTGTGAGGCTGACACCTCGACCAGGATTAAGACGGTCTTTTTTGATAAATCCTATAGTTAGGCTTGCATTGTGTTTCCTGAGCTATCCCTTAGCTCTGCTGCTATAGACTGCTGGAAGACATCTCAATGTCTCATGAATCATTGAATAAAAAAAAAACCCTTTCTCAATATAATCACTGGATGTACCTTAACTACTGATTATCTTTTGGACTTGACTCAGTGTCAGATGACTGCCACTGTATACTGACTTAAAAAAACACACACAAAAATGTCTCTAACTCTCACCTAGGGACAATTTATAATTACCAATCAGTCTAACATGCATGTTTTTTGTCTGTGGGAGGAAACTGGAGTACCCGGAGAAAACCAACGCATGCACGGAGAGAACATGCAAACTACACCCAGAAGGGCCCCCGGACCGGGATTTGAACCGGGGACCTGCTCGCTGAGAGGCAGTGGCTCTACCAGTTGCGCCACCGTGCTGCCCTTTAACGAAACTCCCACATAAATATATATCTACAACTGAATCACTCACTTCAAGATGGTTGTCACAGCTAATCAACCTCAGCCAACACAAAAATGTCTAGAACTCAGGTAATTTTACAGATATTGAGCTAAAATAAGATGTCGTTGTAACAGAGTCATATCCAGCATACCCAATATATATATA